AGCGCGGTTGTGAAACATGCTGTACTATAAAATAATAACTTGTGAAAATTACAGCAATAAAGTGTAAAAACAAGATTTTGTATCATATTTTCACTAAACAAATATATTATGTTATCATAGTTCTCATTTAAAAGTGTTATTTTGTACAGTTGTACAGTATTTAATTTATATATAAATGAGTCGTAAATATAAATTATAAAAGCAAACAAAACATAACGCACACACTCAATATAATAACGCACACACTCAACATAGCCCCGCACTAGGGTAACCCTGTGTCGCGGGTGCCATGGACACACACATAGACAACCACAAATTACACCCAAACTCACGAGAGAAATAAATGTAGGTCATACAAATATTTCGCCCGGCCCGGGAATCGAACCTGGGACCTCTGCGTGGCAGTCCGGCATGGTAACCGTTCGGCCACAGAGGCAGTTAAAATATGCTGCTAGTTGAATAAAATAGCTATGTTGAATGTGTGCATCTATCTGTATTATGTTTTATATGATAAATAAATAAAAAAAGGAAATCACAAAACGCAAACAAATAGGATGGACTGCATACTACACTAGATGACATACTGAAATCGGTTGATATTCCACAATATTTCAAGACACGCTTATTCTACCAAATTGCCCTGCCCACAATGTCTTAAGGTACAGAGAGTCATGCTTGGCATCAAACTTACAGACTTAGTTCCAAATTCCGAAGACGAACTAAGGTCAAGGTATAACGAACGAATGAAATAACGAACTCAAAATGGAGCAACACATATTGCCGGGCGCAGAAAAGACAAATGGAATAAATCAATAACCGAATGGTGGCCAAGAAATGGTTATAGAAATGTTAGATGTCCTGTAGCGAAATGGGTGGACGACATCGTTAAAGTTGTAGATGGGTGAGACTAGCACAGAATCATGGTGGATAGCACAAACTTCGAGAAGCCTGTACCCAGCAATGAAAGAGGTCACGCTGTGTATGATGATGACAAAGATATGTAAAAAATTAAAAGACTAGTATTACTTTGAATATGTTTCAATTGAAAATAAGATATAAACATAACACGAAGTTTTAATCCTAGAAACAACTGCTTTAACAGAAATTTTCGCCAGTCAAATTTTAATGCAGGAAGTTTATGCTGTTAGAAAGCTCTCTCACTGAGTGCGGAAATTGTATAAATGTATACACGTGAACTCAAAAGACATTCATTCTGAGCTTCATTCAAAATGGAGGCAATATGTTTCTAAAAAAACTGAAAACAGTAAAGGTCCAAACACATTAAGGCAGCACTGCGCCACATCGAGCCAACGTTTTTCCATACTAGTCTATACGTAGCAATACTCACAAATTCAAATTCAAATTCAAATTGTTTATTTGCTTCAAACATGGTATAAAAGTTGTAGCAAAAAAAAAAGAAAACCAGTACAAACATGTTTCGCATATCCGATAGCACGCAAATGTCTAATAATATTACCTTGATTGACTATTACAATTTTAAATAAATAAGTCACAATTTTCACAGTTAAAGTATGTCAAGAATTAAAATAATATAAATAAAAATTCAAGAATTACAAAAAAAAAAAATATGTGAAAAGTTACAAAAACAAAATACATATATATGTCAAGAATTACAAAAAATATTTAAGTTTTTTTTTTTTTCACATGTGAGCCGCGGTAGAAAATTGCACAACCCTCGTCAGACACATAGTCGCGTGGTTAACTGATTGCATCGCCACCATCGTTGCACCGTAGTAAACAAACAAACAAAAAAGATTAAGAAAGTGAGACGTGTTTGCAGTTGTATGCAGTTCACAGCCGCCATAGTAAGATTGTGATCAGGCACTGCTATGCAGCTACGTCAGGGCCTCGCCAAGTCGACTAGTGCAGCCAGCGCTAATGCGTTAGGCCCTTTAATGGTTTCTATTCGAAACGACCGACCTACTTTTCTAACAGTCGTTTGTTACTTAAAGAATAGCAAACGACATTAGCTTTCATTATGACCTATGTAATTGAGTTCGGTTTTACCAAGGGTTGTCACTTTAGAGAAATTAAATTTTCCGCAAATCCTATAAAATACTTTTGATATGTAAATTACACTTGCGTGCAGAAGAACTTAATCATTCAGCCCTACAAATACTTGTTATAAACCAGACCATTATTTCATATAAATATGTGTGGGCGAAAATAATACTAAATATATTGCAAATAAAATGTTCACAATCATTGACTTACAATTATATGGACGTCGGGTCCGCGCTAAAAAGTGTCCGAACTCATAGGGCGTTAAAATCGTATACAGAGCGCCATTCACGCTCTAGTCTTCGTTTGTTCGACTGACAGCGAAGCAAGCAAAATTAGACAGTACTGCGATGACATTACAGTTTAAATTCAACGTTTTAGCTTTTTCATATTCCTTTACATGTCACTACGTTTAAATAGGTTGACTTGGGACATTTTTTTCGTGGTTTTTGTATTTAGATCCGTCGTCCATTTATTTGTAAGGCAATGTTCACAATGTACAAAGGCAATTGTTTATATTTCCCCCTTACCTAGTATTAAATCCACTAAAAGGTCGACACACAAAACTGCGATGCGACGTCGCGTCGCAGAAATCTACGAGCTCGCATAACGCTTCGCAAGAATTTGCGAATTGCTCCGCACCGCGCATTCCTGCGATGTTAATCTTCTTTGTGTTTTTTTTCCTATACTTTTTTATCAATAACAGCAGTGCAACACTCTTTTTACGATCCATGTTGCCTAGTTTAAGAAATTCGTCCAGTACGGTTGACGATCGTCGAAGGAACGATCACCCGAATCGTGGCGGTGTCGACGAAATCGCATCGCATTAATTCGCGTCGTAATTTTCGAGCGAATTCGCATGACGCCAATTCGCAGTTTTATGTTTCGACACTAGACATTAATAATTTATTATAGACTTTAATATTTTGTTACTTTTTTTATATACATTTCCGTTCGTTCTAATAGTTGAATTTTGTTATAGAGTGATGTGTATGGCTGTACCTGGTTGTCAGTTCTATAGTGCTATTTAAGATTTTTTTTTGTATTGTGTTGTTATGTCTGTAACAGTACGAATAAAGTAAAAATATAATTGTACACTAATATTTTAAATTGTTTCTTAAGATTTGTAATTTACTTTGTGGTACAATAAAGTGTTTAAATAAATAAATAAAATAAAATAAAATTTGTGACGAAAATACATAGTCGTGTCTACGAATCCGATTTGCAGATGTACATAGTCGAAAAAATGATCGATAAAAGTAGTATATGATTTTACCGTCTCAGTTAACCGTGACCATTGGACCCGTATAGGTCTCGAAACGTTAGTTTCTTTAAAAAAACAGAAATAGGTAAGGTGGCAGTATTTCCCTGGACGAACTCTTTTACAAACAGCTCTACTGCCACTAAAAGACTTGTTCTAAAATCTCGAATACGTCAAAGCAAAAGTAGTGTAGAATGCCCTACGGCAATATGGACGGGCAACTAGTAAATGTGGCCAAAAGCAGTCGGATAAGAGTGGCACAAGCCCGGAAGAGTTGGCTTGCTTAGGAGAAGCTTATGAACAACAATAAATGCGTTTAAGTTAACATGATATGATGATACAATTCATGAACAAAACGAAAAATAAATACAAATTACCATTTCTCTGAACGAAATTCTTAGAACTTTACCTTTTATAATAAAATTATCATATATAACGAGACTAACAAATTTCTTTTCAAATGAGATGAAAAAGAAATATGTTTACAAAAATAGGGACATATTTATTCATACATGGTTCAGCGAGTTGCACCAGTAATTATCATAAAAATGTTAATTGTAATTTTAATTATATCTTTTGAAGTATACAGGGTGGAAAAAATCGATGAGACAAATTAAAATTCCAATTCAAATAATCTTTATTTTGTAGGTAAGCAAATTACACTTGAAATATCTATATATATATTGCACTATATATTAAACTCTACTGCTCATTCGTAAGTCGGAGTTCCTTGAGTAGAACGAGCAAGAAGCTCTAGGGGTTGCTCTTTTAAATATACATTTGAAAACATTTAACATTTGCGATATTTATTTCGAACATCTTAGATTGAGATTACCTGCAAAGAGAGTACCTCAAATGCTTAACATGCTTACACTACCTAAGAAGGAAACATTCTTTTATTTTTCTTAATGAATAACTGCATTCACAGAATTTTTGAAAAGCTTGTCTGGCCGCACAGCCCTGGACGAATTCTTTCGTAAGGAGCTCTACTGGTACTTAAAACTTATATTCATATATAAAATGTACAAATATTAGTGGTGAATTTCGCTTTTAAAGCAGAATTCTTATTCAGAATAAAGACGTACGATCTTTCGTATTATAGCAGGCTATAAATCGTACCCTTGTTATAATAAAGCCACGTGGGATCATACGTCAAAAGTGCTTTTATAACATAAAAATCATTAAAATAATACGGCCTACATATATGAAACAAATTACGTATATTATGTGACAGTTTTTACCTCCAGATGAGTTATAAAATTTCACACAATATACTTCTATATTTCGAATCATCTTTCTCTCTTGCATACTCCTTCCCTCTCACTCCCGCGTTTAGATACGTTCACCCACCGCCTAAATTATAATAATTCATGCGTTCAGATCTAGCAATCCCACATTTATTTTATACAAATTCCGATGCTACAATAGTAAATTAAATTTTGTAAACATACTTACATAGACGAGTAAAAAACTACGCCATAAAAAAATTATCAAGGCATTAATACGCAACTCGGAAGGCTGAAACTTCGTTAAATCGATGTGGCCAACCATTAAGTTCAGAACGCACTAGGAAATTCAAACTGACCAATCACACAGCTTGGAAATCACGTGAAACGCAGTACGTAATACAAACTAACCAATAGTTTTAATCATAGCGATGTGACAATTGCCAATTGGGTTTTAAAATTGTACGAGTATAATGATATAAGGTACTCACCGCTTGTATAAAGAAGTCCTCATGCAACACGCTGACTATGCCAAAGTTGGTGAACTTGAAGACCCTGTCCATGATCCACATTAAATTGCACAACACGCCACGTCGAGGGTTCCAAGCAGTCATGAGCATTGGCACATCGGCCGTGCTCTGATGGTTTGCCAGGACCAGAGTGCGACTTCCCATGCAAGTTGATGGTTCGTCTCCGGATTCTATAACTGTAACAAAAGAAAAATGTTTTTGAAACAGTGATCGCAATAATCGAGTTCTTAAGTTTTCGCGATTGCTACACATTGAAAATGGAACAATTTCTAACCGTCTGCAAAAAATGAGGGGTTCTCAATTTTACGTTTTGGCAAATGATATAATTTCACGAACTTTTGAGGTCGGTTTTTTAATAAAGCAGTTATTTAGGATCTTAATCGCGTATATCTGTCCTTCATCCATGATCATAGGATCATAGTTTGAAAAAAAAAACACGCAACTTAGAATAAGAATACATTTATTGCATAACTATAAATCATTACATAAGGTCTTAAATATTCATTGGCTTGTGCTCTATAGTCCACCATTTAAGGTGTACAATATTATTAAATGTTATAGATTAAAATTAAATTGCATTAGAATATGAAAGAAAAAAAAAACAATTATTAATAAACATGTCACACCGCTAGTCACCAAATTTGTCGTTGTCGTCAAAAAACGGGTTTGTAGCATCTGAGCCCGGGGTCAGTTTAAAGTTGCAACGGAACCCGAATGAGCCCAAATGTGAGTATCGTGTGTCCCCGGGAAGGCTTGTGCTGTGAGCGGGGTTGCTTGACAAAAATAATTAAATTTGAGTCGCATCCAGTCCCGGGTTCAGTTGCACCTCCAGAGATGACATTAAAGTTATATCGTCTGAACCCGAATTCATTTTCGATAGATATTGATACTTCACAGGTACCTAGTACCTAGATAAAAATTATATAATTTTCCGAAAACATACTTTGACTAACAAAACATAAAGTATCTATTGCAACTTTAAACCGACCCCGCGTTCAGATGCTACATACCCCAAAAATCTCTTGTACTCCAGGACACTATAATAAAATTTAGACGCGAAGAGGTAGTTTCATTTTTAGTAATAAGCCGATAAATACGTATTAATAATAAAATGTAAGTATAAGACCACAAGAAAGTGCAAATAATCTTCAAACTCAAATAATTTCTCTTTTACTGAAAATGACCGTAGCACGAAAGCACGACCGCACGACGTATCATTCTCTTCCTGTACATATGTCATCAAATCTTTTCACATCGACAGCAAACATTATAACAGTGTTTGCCATCGATAAGACAAGAAGACGAAGACCATACCATAGTCATTAAACAAGCTCAACGCGATGAGATGACAACACGGTAAATTTCCATATGAACACAATTTTATATTCGTAATTTAGCGAACTCATCTTGATGCTTGGGGAAGTTAGATGAAACGGAACTACTCTGTATTCGCAGAATACGCTTAGTAAATAGGAGGTTAAATTTCCAAGAATTTCTGTAGCCATTTCCGAAGCATTTCTATTCAAAGTCAGAAGGATCACTGAGAAGTTTGCTTTCTTACTTCGCGCGGAACGGTACGTGATCCATTTTGATGAAAAGTTAGAGCTTATATGAAAATAACTTATATAACAAAACCATTTCTACCGCTGTTATTCTAAAATATAATATTGAATTATATTTATTGTAAAAAATAAGTTGTAAAAAAAATATAAGTTGACAAATCCGATGTGCCTGCAATTTAACTAGCACCCTTACCTTTCAAAGCCGGAACGCAGTAATGCTCACGTTACTGCTTGGCGGCAGAAATAGGGAAGTAGTCTTCTAGGTTATAGTCTAGTGGTAATCTACAAATGGTGCTGGTTGCAGCATCAGACTAAGGTTACCTTATTACCGATAATATCGGATTTCAATAATATAATCAAATTTCTAGACGATCAGACAAATGGAAGTAAAATAAGTATTCATTTTATGATTGAGATGCCTACATTAACTGGGAAAAGAGATAAAAATGTTTAAACAACTAAACGATGAGATGTTAATCAAGCATAGTTAAGAACCGTCCTAAATAAATAAGTCGCCTTCATATAAAAAAAAAACTACTTTAATATCAGACCGATTCGCGAACATCTACGACAGCTACGATGCCACAGACAGACATACAGACGGACACAAAGGCATAGGCTTCAAACTTATAACTCCCCTCTATTGGAGTCGGGGTTGAAAAACTAAACTACGCATTTAATTTGGAAACGGCATGTTTTTAAATGATCATTTTAAATTTGCAGAAGCAGCAGTCAAAAATCTTTTTTTAATGATTGATCCCACTACTCAGAGACATAAAATAAATTCAATCATAGGATATTTTAATCTGTTCTGAGCTACGCAAAAAATCTTTGATTTGTATAAATTATTAAAAATATATAGCATTAAAAACTAAATTTAGATACCTCTTTTTTATAGTTCGATTCACAAAAATACTTTTTTACTTTGATTTACTACAATATTTACAACCTAATATTATTATTAATTATAATATAATTTGACCTGAAACTATGTTCGGAAACGCAAGCAAATTCGCTTCTAGCACTCGCTGGCCGCTGCCGTGGCACGTTCACTTCGCACGTTCGGCTCGCATGCTTTTTTTTTTCATATTACTTGTACTAACCTAACCTACTGAATGGAAAGCGCAACCAAGATATGACCTATAATAGAGAAAGAGGATCAGGTAATATTTTTGAATACCAAATATTAATTTACTACATATGCTTAACATAACCTTACATCAACTAATATTCAAGCGACTATCAATTGAATCTTTGCGGGTCAAATAATATTATCCCTTTGGAAACTCCCAACTAGGAAGAACACCACGGCGTGTTTAACCATTAGCACACAGTTAAACCACAATACATCCTTACTCGACACAAGTGAAAAGCCTTTGAATTCTAAATCAAAACAACCAGAGTGTAAATTTACCACACGAGAATAGTACGTGGTCCATTCAAATGCAAAGGTGCAATACCGCAGTATAGACGTTAAACGAATTGTATAACATTACTAAAGAGGTTACCTACAAAATGAAAGCTCCAAATAGCTTGGCAGAATAGTGATACTTACAAATGTTAGGTGTAATTATTCACGTGAACGAATATCTTTTAATCTCGTATTCTTTTATGCGCCCTTAGCTATAAGAGGTTAGCCTCACCGGACCACGCGACCGCATTATTCATTATGTTAGTTGATGTCTATTCAAATGGTACATTTTTGTATATAAAGATTACTTTTAACTTTCTAAAATCTGGATATAAATCTTATTGAATAATCAATAAGAATTTTATCCTATATTAAGTATTTTTGAACTCAAGTGATAGTGAAGTTTCCAATTTCATAATTTAATAAAAAATCTGACAAACCACAAGGCTAGATATATTTTTTTAATGATACACCGTAACGGTAAGCTACACACCTGCCCATAACAGTTACAGTGTCACTCAAGAGCTTTACATCGCAATGTTATTGTTATATTAGATTGAGCAGTCCCAAGAACCTGTAGTTTCACAAACAACCTTACCCATCAAAATCGAAACGCAGAAATGCTCACATTTAATTGTTGATATAGATTGTCAGTCCCTCCTATCCCACAAGTCCCACCCCAAATAAACCTAAAAGTACCTAGAATGTCAGCTAGGCTGCATAATTACACACAAACCTTTTGCAATTGAACTGAGAAAAATCAATTATGGTAGTATGTGCTTGGCTGCGGAGACATACTGCGCTCCACCGGTCATTCTGAGTCTTAAGTTGGTAAGTACCATGTGCCTGTAATTTCACTAGAAACCTTACTCATTATTACCGAAATACAGTAAAGAACACATTACCCTTCGGCGACAGAAATAGGTAAGGCGAGTACTTTGCAACAAGGAACTCTATTGCCACTAAATAAGATTGTAGACCGTGACTACTGATGGTCTTTGCTTTTGAATAGTTAATACGCAAAATAGAATCAAACTACGTTTCACCAGAGAATATTTCTTGGCAATTCTATTTTGTATAAATAGGACAAGTTACATCAAAGATTTTTTATCACTAAAGTCAATATGGCAATAGTATCAGTGTCTGGAAATTATGGTCAGCGAACAAACCTTAACCCGACACGTCGCAAAGTCGCTTTAAGCAATTTGAAAGTTTCTCAGTTCAGTACGCATGTACCTACTAAGTGCCATAACATTGCTGGCGTACTCGGTAAAGATTCAGTAGAAAAAAAGAAAAAGTACACAAATTTACAGCCAACATCATAAACGTATTAAAATGAATAGATTCGAATTAACGTAACTAACAAATTTTCACAATTTCGTTACATTTATAAATTGCCTGATGGTAAGCGACACTACAATTGTAGTGCCACTCAGAGCTGTAATCACAAAGATCCGAGGGGCACTGCCACTGCGCCCGACACCCTGAGACATAAGTTGACAAGTCCCATGTGCCTCCAGTAATGTTCACCTTACTGCTTGGCGGCAGAAATAGGTAAGGTGGCAGTACTTCCTTGGACGAACTCTTTCACAAGAAGCTCTAATGCGACTAAATGTAGTAGAATAAATTCGATGTAACGTAGTTTCTACGTAACGTATCGTCTTCGATGACCTTCACCGTTGTGTACTTCCGTGGGAACTTAGGTACTGTCCTTGTAAAAATTTCGTTGAAGTGGTCAGTCGATGTTGCAATTTACTAGAAAATATAACAGTAGTGTAGCCTTTATTGATGTCAGATTGCTATGCACGGATGACCGGCTGACGAACTGACAGACGCTGTCTCATAGACGTGGATTCGTGTTCTTTTGTTTAATTGATTATGTCACTTGTTGTGCTCAACTTAATTTAAAAATAAGAAAACATAAGGATTAATAGAAGTTAGCACATAATTATATAACAATAACTCGTTTTGTTATATTTATATTAATAAATATACCTATTTCGTTTTAAGCACTAAGAGCTCTACTGCTACTAAAGAAACTATGTTTAGTAGCAGTAGAGTCGTCCAGGGAACTACTGCCACCTTAGCTATTTCTAATGTAATGTGAGCATTACTGCATTCCAGTTTTGAAAGGCGAAGGTGCTGGTGAAATTACAAGCACATGGGACTTGTCAACTTATGTCTCAGGCCGAGTCACGAGCCG